AAAACAGACAGGATAGGGGGGCAGAGAGAGGGGATGACATGCAGCAAAGGGCCACAGGTCGGACTCGAACCCTGGGCCGCTGCAGCAACTCTGTACATGGGTTGCCACCTCTACCGACTGAGCTAACTGGGCACCCAGCAAACCAAATTTAAGGGGTCACAATTTAATTAGGACCAGAAAGAGATCGTACATTACAACATACCTGGTGTAACTTGCATACTGGTAGTGAGAGTGTTGGTAGTGATAGTAATAGTGGTAGTAGTAGTGGTAGTAGTAGTAGTGGTGGTATGTAAACTAGGGTATTTCACTGTAATGAAGAAATGTATTATTATTGTACACCAGGTTTTTACAGTTCTGTGCTTTTAAATCTACAGCGACATCTAAGAGTATAAGAAATAGAAGAATAACTTCTTCCACCAGTTCTACTACTGAAATTAAAACTACAACGTAGGAGAAAGGTTTTGAAAAAACTAAGTTTAGATGTAAAGCTAGTGGAGTGTCCAGGAGGAGGAGGAGGAGAAGGAGGAAGAGGAGGACTGTAAGTGAACCGACGGACGACAAGAGAGGAGAAAAATGTGAAAGTAGAGCTCAGATTACAGTCTGCACACACTCACACAATACTGCTACTGTTCACACACACACGTATATTAAAGGTAGTTAAATACGCAGCGTCTTAGACCAACACACACACGCATACACACGCACACACACACACACACACACACACACACACACACATATAAAAGCCTTTTCTTCCTTCCTGCAGGTGAATCTGAGCTCTTCTGACTCAGCAGCTTCAGATCACCGTCAGAAAGATATTTTGTGTTTCCACATCAGGGAACTGGAGCCAGAGAGTTCCTTCTGGAGTTGGTGGAGGCCAAACTAGAGCTTCTAGACTAGAGATTCATCAGGTGGGAACAAACTCCAGTGGGACGGTCTTGTTGTCATGTGATATTATTTCAGGAAGTACAGTGAATGTGGGGCATTCAGGGGCTAACGTGAGCTTAAAGAGGTTAAAGAACGATGAGTATGAAGTGATTCTATTTGTGCAAGTACTGGAAGTGGTGATGGTGGTTGTAATGGTTGTAATGGTAGTAATGGTAGTAATGGTAGTAGTAATAGTAATATTAGCAGTATTAATAGTATTAATAGTATTAATAGTGATGGTGGATGTGGGCGGGGCTTCATGCAGCTGGAACAGATTTCCTCTGAAGGTTGAATCTGAACAATAAGAGCTGTGTTTCTGGAGGGGCACTGACATGATGTATATGGGTAGTGTGTGTGTGTGTGTGTGTGTGTGTGTGTTGTTATAGCTGTGTTTTAGCTCCAGTGTCGTCTGGTTTGAAGGTGCTCTAAGTGCTGCTATATCAGCTTACAGTGGCCCCACCCTGACTGTATGTGTGTTAGCTCTCCCCAGTGGTCTTATTAAAACTAACCTGCACTCTGTAAGCGGCGGTCTGGACACACACACACACCGCTCGCAGGGTCAGAGTGTGAGTGTGAAGTCCTGACGTCACTTCCTGTCTACCCTCCAACAGCTGGAAACCTGTAGCTCCGCGCTGTGTTTAAGAGCTGCTGCTGATGTGTGAAAGAACACGTGTAGAATAATCAGGTAACAAACAGGAAACATCCAAACTGATTCTGAGAAACCAGAGACACTGTGGAGTCTTCAGCTTCTCAGGTAGGGAGGATGAACACACACTTCCTGTCAGGTTACAGGAAATTGCAGCAGCTCTAACAACACGGTCAACTACTGAACCTTTAATACTGCGACCTCTGACCTCTGCACCAACATAAAAGACTGAGATATGAGTTCAAAGCAGAGATGTTCCACTCACATTGTTCTGTTTATGGAGATGATCTTCCTCTGGGCCGTCACTGTGTGTGTGTGTGTGTGTCACTGTGTGTGTGTGTGTGTCTCACTGTATGTGTGTGTCACTGTGTGTGTGTGTGTGTGTTACCGTGTGTGTCACTTTGTGTGTGTGTGTGTTACCATGTGTGTCACTTTGTGTGTGTGTGTGTGTGTGTGTCACTGTGTGTGTCACTGTGTGTGTGTGTGTCACTGTGTGTGTCACTGTGTGTGTGTGTGTGTGTGTGTGTTACTGTGTGTGTGTTACTGTGTGTGTGTGTTACTGTGTGTGTGTGTGTGTGTGTGTGTGTGTCTTCCTCTGTCGGCACTTAGGTGGACAAACGAAGGACATCTGGATGCCTCACATCCTCTATCTCTCTCTCTCACAGAAGGCTTTTATTTTGAAAGTGTAGCCTTGGAGAAGTGCTCTCCTCTGACGCAGCACACTGTAAAAAAAAAAAGTGTTTAAAAATAAATGGTAATATTCCAGAAAATAATACTGTAAAATAACAGGAAATAACATGTTACACAATTTACACTGTAAAACCAATGATCTATAAATC